AGTATAAATGATTTGTAATTTTACAGGTTGTTACCCCTTTATTCCACAAACGTCGCATATTATTCCCCTATACCTACACAAAGGTACTGAATACGTACACTATAATTACAAAAAAAGTTATGCTGTAACTTCAGTTTACTTTCGCAGTTCTTTGCAGGTTGCATATCTGGTAGTTACCCCCTTATTACCCAAACGTAACACATTGTTCCCTTATACCTACACATACATTCTTTATAGGCAGGGGTGAACTTACACTCTAAAAAATGCTGGGTTAAATATAACCCAGCATTGGGTTAAAAAGGGACAAACCCAGCTATTGGGTTGTTTTGACCCCGCGGTTGACCCAGTCAAAGCAACCCAATAGCTGGGTTTGTCCCTTTTTAACCCAGCGCTGGGTTATATTTAACCCAGCATTTTTTAGAGTGTAAGTTTTTCAGCCTGGTTCTCGTATGAGAACCTGGAGATTTGGTTTTGACCCATCAAATATAACTATAAAAAATTAATTAATAATAGTGATAATATTATTGCACTTTATTTTTTATTTTTTTTAATAAAATAATAAACTAAATAATAGTGTGATAATACTATTTTATTTTAAAATAAAAAGGGAGTATTAAATACAATTATTTTATAGTAATCTTAAAATAAAATGCTAATATTTAAATTTTTATTTGAACCTTAATTATTATTTTTAATTAGAATTATTAGAATTTTTCATTTTCAAACTTAAAATCAGCAAGCTTTTATTTTGGCGGGGTGCCGGCAAGTAAGTACATGCGCTTCCGGGTTCCGGGTTTAACGCTGCCGATTGTAGAGCGTCAGCGCATGAAATGTCACAGTTTTGCATTGTGTTTTGAAAATGTTAGCGGGTAGCCTAGATTTATGCTTTCAGTTTGAATAGAAATCTTATATAGTACAGTCGATCTAAAATGGTAATTGTGCATTAACAGCTGTCAACCATGTCGGTACGCAAACGCGTGCTCTGAACTCATTAACACAGCGCATTTCTTATTTTGGTCGCGCATGCGCACCTGCGGACAACATATGTGCGCCCGTTTATACGTAGGCCTACACTATAATTACAGAAACGTACACCGTAAATTCAGTATACTTACGTAGTTCTTTGCGGGTTGTAATCTAAAGCGTTAGGCCTACCGGACTTTTCAATAGGCTTTTGGATTATTGACAAAAATATGCTCTGTGTGCAACCATAGTTCATGAAATTTACACGTTTTGTCCATCAAGATAATCTTCACAAAATAATATAACTTTTATGAATTTTGAAGCCTAAATAAAAGCGCCAGAACTTAAAAGCTAAACTTAGGCTATAAACGAACTACAGCACCACAGACGCTTGCCTTAAACATGCTTCTGGCAACTTTTTCAAACTTATTTTAACATGTTCAGTGAAAAGGATTTACTGAATTTTAATCCACGCTACACAAATATTTTCATATAAACTGGAATAAATACAAAACTACGGCCAAACTAAAACTGAAATGAGACATTAATAAATAGAATAGTGAATAAATTAACTAATTATAACTAAAGGACATATGAAAGCATTTTGAAATAAGGTGCATTAAAAGTCAATAAATCCTTGATTAATATGTATGTTTTAATTAAAAAGGTGTCTCCAAGTATTCAATACAATTCTAGTGCATTTAATCTTAAATAACAGCAGAGTGAGCGAGTTAAGATTAAATTTATTTTATTGAATAAAGTACCACATTTCAGCTATTATTTTGTTAGTGTGGGTACACAATTTTATTTTATCCTTGCATTCTACAATTAATTGTACTGTAAATTATACTACAATTAGAAAATACTTTATAAACTTTTCGGCGTGATGAAGTTTAATGTCTCCAACAGCGCCTGTAGTCCCATTTAGCAACTTGTTAGCAACTATCTTTAAGGATCTTAAATAACAGCAGAGTGAGCGAGTTAAGATTAAATTTATTTTATTGAATAAAGTACCACATTTCAGCTATTATTTTGTTAGTGTGGGTACACAAAATTTAATTTTATCCTTGCATTCTACAATTAATTGTACTGTAAATTATACTACAATTAGAAAATACTTTATAAACTTTTCAGCGTGATGAAGTTTAATGTCTCCAACAGCGCCTGTAGTCCCATTTAGCAACTTGTTAGCAACTATCTTTAAGAAACTTTTAACAGTTTAAAAAAATATTATGAGTGGGGTGTGTTTTATGTCGTAGAATAAAACGTGAAAGTATCTTGAGCTTGTGTGAACCACAGACCTTGTTTTAGGAGATTTAATTAAACTCCCATTCAAAAAACCCATTGACTCTGGGACGATGGAACCAGAAGTGCTAAAATGCTAACTCGCTTCCAGGTTTTTGCCTACAAAAAAAACTTCATAGTTCCACCACTCCATTGCAATGCTATATATATGTTGTGTGCACACGAGAGGCTCCGGCGTGATCACAGATATTGTTCTTATCACAGCGGGGTGGGGGGGGGGGGAGTTTAAAAAAATATTATGAGTGGGGTGTGTTTTATGTCGTAGAATAAAACGTGAAAGTATCTTGAGCTCGTGTGAACCACAGACCTTGTTTTAGGAGATTTAATTAAACTCCCATTCGAAAATGATGGATGTATATTGCTTGTTCGACAGTATATCGACTAAAATATTATGTTATTTCTGGTCATAAAGATAGGAGTAAGACATCATTTAAAACTGCAAACGGTTCTCCTTTTATTTAAATCTACTCGCAATAAAAACAAAATCATGCCTTTGTAAAATAAAGAAAAACAATATGCACTTTGCTGTCTCGGTTTCCTTAAACTAGTGGATTTAAACCTAATTTAACATTCTAAGTTCGTCGATTAACAGATAGGAAATGAACATCGTAATAATTAAGAATTAGCTCAGTCAGTGGAGAGTAGGTGGACTTTAGTGGCTGCTGGAATGCATTCGATCACATGAGCATCCACATTATGAATGCAATCTGGTCGAATGAGTTTTCCATTACCTCTGGAAGGGGTCGAAAGTGGACAAGCATAAAGCATTTTAGAGCCCATCTTTATGTAGCATTATCCAATTATGATCAGATTGATGAAAACACATCTTAACACCAGGTGTAAACAGGGCATAACATCAACATCAAAGTAAAAAGTGAAAAGAAAAAAAGTCTGGGAGGCCATTCCCTCCCAGAACTGATCGGAGCCTTCAGAATTTGTGTATCATTCGATCATTTGTTTTTTAATTTAATATTGAAAGTAGAAAAATGAGAAAACGGCTCCTTTTTCGTTTTTTTTCCAAAAAACGAAAAACAAGAATTCAGCTTAAATTTTTGTTTTTCGTTCATGGGTGGAAAAATTAATAAACAGCTTGAATACTCGATTTCTACATGTGGGCGGGAATTAAACGCCCCTTTCTATTGATTGGTCAGCCGAAGATCAAACCGTGCCGTCATCAGTTCTTCTGCAGTATCACGTAGCAGAATAATAGTCCTCCACTGCTGCAGTTGTATGGATTAATAACCCATTTTATTGCAACTACATTTCATATTTTTCTCATCAAACAGACTAATGAATAGCTTGACACAACTCATACGGGGGCAGAGTCTAGACAGGTCTTTCTTCTGTGTAGACCAGCGGTTCTTAAAGTGATAGGGGGTCCGCAAAATAATTTGCTATAGCCTAAAGTATTTCCAGACTGTAAAGTCGCTTTTTTAAAATCATGATACATAGGCCTACTGTGATTTATTCCAAAGTTACTTATATGATGCATTTAACGTCAAATAATCTAAATGAAGCCTTTTAAAAGACAAATATTTAATTTGTCTTTTAAGGGGCATTTAATTCCCGCCCATGTGTAGAAATCAAATATTCAAGCTGTTTATTAATTTTTCCACCCATGAACAAAAAACGAAAATTTAAGCTGAATTCTCGTTTTTCGTTTTTTTGGGAAAAAAACGAAAAAGGATCCGTTTTCTCATTTTTCTACTTTCAATATTAAATAAAAAACCGAATGATCGAATGATACACGGATTCTTCAGGAATCTCTCTTTGGGCCATTCCTGTGATGTTACAGGGTTCATCCTTAAGGGTCAGGGAGTTTATGGCCCCAGGTCACATGACAAAACTTTTGAGCTCATCAGATGCTACAGAGTAGAGCAGGGGTGTCAAAATCAGTTCCTGGAGGGTCATTTAATTAGGGTTGAATCTAAACTCTGCAGGGCTGTGGCCCTCCAGGAGTTTGACACACACAAGCAATACATTTTCATTTAATTATAAACAAAATGCAATTAAGTGTCTGAAAACACTACATGCACTTTAGTATATTTTTAATACACTGTAAAACCTGGTAAGTTAAGAATACTCAAAACATTTGAGGAAACGTATTGCCTCAAAATATTTGAGTAAACGAATTCAATTTTTTAAAGTTAGTAGACCTTAACATTTTTATGACAAGTGGGGCGGGGCTGAGAGCCATGGGAGCCAAGCCTCGCTTCCATGATCCCACCCCACTCATCACAATGATATACTTTTATACAACTTGCTTCCATTAACAGCACATTCATTCAGATCTTTATAGTTAAGTGCTAGCTAGCAACAACACACTAGCATGTACTAATGTAGTTATCAAAAAGACTCACAATACATGCATGTAAGTAGTCAAACAACATGCAATATAAATAGTCTTCAAATTTTGCTCTCCATCCTCAACTTAACCACAGGCTCTACTCTTCACCACAGCGGTAACACTACAAAACCAACATAACAAAAACCTATGTAAATCCTGACACAACACAACATTTAAGTACTAACTTGTGTCTCTCTATGTTAATCTTGTGTAAAAACACACAAAATAACACTTAATTTCTACATTTATTTTCCTTGTTGTCTGATGCAAAGCATGCTGGGAACTAGAAATCATCATTTTAAGTTCACCTTACTACAACATTTTAAATTTACAGAACTTATTTCAATTAAGTCCAATGAACTTTATTATTTGAGTTAACTCATTTCATTTAATGAATTTCACTGTCCATTTAACAAAAAAAGTACTGTAAAACCGAACAATTACAGTATAAATGGTTGATTAATTGATTTTGGGGAGCTGCTTCTTAATAAACTGCTTGATGTCCATCATTTCCTGTTGAAAGAAAAGGAGGAGGAAATCAGTTTAAAATGTTTCAGTATGTTCTAAATAAATCCAATTAATGCATTAAAATGCCCTGTTCAAAAACATAGTGAGTAACCTACATAGGAAGCATTTTTAGGCTGTCATCCATTTAATAAAAAAAAATGTAAGTAGTTGGTTGAAGCAAGAAGAAATCCAATGAAGTGTCACACACAGTGCTGAATCCTACCCCAGTGTATCTTTAATACAGGGCTAACAAACACATTCACGCTATTTCTTATACTTATGGGCAATTTAGAATCTCCAATTCACCTAAGCTGCTGTTTTTGACTGTGGGGGAAACAGAGCCCTGGTGGAAATCACACCAATACAAGGAAGAAAAGAAATGCCAACTTAAAAAAAGGCTGCCCCTTGCCTGGACTTAAACCGGAGACCTACCACTGAGTTACCGCGTTGTTAGCTTAACAGTCACTTATGAGGTTCAATAATGGTTTGAATAAAGCCTTAGAAGATAGCTTCCTATGTAGACACTAAGCAGTAGACAGCAAGGCAACTCATTAGATTTTGGAACAGAGCTACTGTATTCTGAATAATAAAAAAGCGAGAGTAAATAATAAACTTGATTTATGCAAACCTCAGGACATGCACAGTGAGGCATTTGAGAGTATGTTTTAAAAGTGATATTGGAGGGATTCAGCATGACTTTGAGTTTCTCTACAGTGAGACGGCCAAAAATAAGAGGAACCAGAGGATCTGCTTCGCCATGACACTGCAGCACCGATATATCCTTATTATTGCTAATCATTGACTACAGAATAGAGACAGCAAGAGAGAACAGACAGAAGAAAAAAAATCACATATGAATATCATCATAAAACAGCATTTGTAACCTACATTACTTCTGTACGGAAACATATTTTTTTTAGTAAAAAAGATTCAAAGAAAAATTGTATCAACCTAAAACTGATTGAAGTGGACATTTCATACCAGAATGGAGCCAGATTTGATTTGGATTTGGTGGACAACAGCTATCCATTTCTGATGAGCCTTTTGACAAATGTTTTCTTTACAGTTTTAGTGTAGCAGAGAATAATAATTATGAGTGAATATTGTGTATATTGCTGCGCCTTATCATTGAAAGGCTGCATAGATGGGCAAGGAGTTCTTGCCCAGAACAGACCCATACCACAAATCCAAAAAGTAGCCCAATTGTCAGTTATTTATGACAATAGTGGTCCTGACTTCTTTTGTTGCAGAGGCCTTTCATGTCATTTACATGTGTCGCGCACTATATTTTTGTTAGTGGGAATGTAACGAGGAGACACAGGAGTAACTTGAACAAACAGACTTTAATAAACAAAAAGGCAGGGAACATCGGGAACGTAGGAGACATGGAATGACGTAAGACACCGAACAAGGAAACCAGGAACAGAACACTCTTTAAATACACAACTGAACAAGGGGATAACGAGGCACAACATTTTAATTAGAACATTTCAGAACATTTTATTTATGATTATATTTATTTGTCCAATTACATTTGAGCCCCTGAAAATGGGGGGACTGTGTATAAAAATGGTTGTAATTCCCAAGCATTTTGTTATATTTTTGTTCAATCCCTTGAATTGAGGCTTAAAATCTGCACTTCAATTTCAAATATATATATGGACCTAACTACACACACATACACACACAGTGTTGGGGATAACACATTACAAGTAACGTGAGTTACGTAATCAGATTACTTTTTTCAAGTAACTAATAAATTAATGCATTACTTTTTAATTTACAAGAGAATATCTTGTACTTCTTGAGTTACTTTTTCAAATAAGTAACGCAAGTTACTTTTTTTCCCAATTTATTGATTGACAGCTCTCCTGTCCCCATGTTGAGAGAAATCAGAAGATGCTACTGTAGTTCTAAAATAAATATGAATATGCATTCATTAATCTCACTCACAAAATAAAAACACAGATTCAGTATTCCTCAAAATGAATAAAAAAATACTTAGAATATAACGCAAACCTACAATAATTAAATGTTAAACAACACAAATATCCTTTATGTATTTAATCCTATTCTATTAACCAATGACTTTGCTTCTGACCTTCGATGATCCAGTTCAACCATACTAATAAGCAAAAATTACTCTAGACAAACATTTGTGTCTCTTTTTTTTTATTGCTGAAGTGTGTTGAAATTTCTTCTTCTGCATTCTACTGTACGGACATAAATTTAAATTTCTTTCAGCCTGAGGCTTATTAATTTCACTTTTGGTATGAAAAGGCTTTTATATTTGCCAAAAATAGAACTTTTTTATTTTAAAAACAAACAAGCAAGCCCTGTCCAGATTTAAAAAGTAACGCAAAAGTAACGTAATGCATTACTTTCCATAAAAAGTAACTAAGTAACGTAATTTGTTACTTTTTTATGGAGTAACGCAATATTGTAATGCATTACTTTTAAAAGTAACTTTCCCCAACACTGTACATGTATGCATATATATATACACACACACATTAGGGCTGTCAGTTTAACGTGTTAACTTAATTAGTTATGAAAAAATAACGCGATTAAAATATTTTAACGCAGTCAACGCACTGGCCCCGCCCCAGACCTGTAGGTCATCTTACATTTCATACAGTTGACTGTTGACAAATATGATGCAAGGCAACAACTTCATAAATGCAATTATGCCCTAAAATTCAGATATTAAAAAAAAGATATAAAAAAGATATTTGGGGCAAACATGCTCCTGTATGAGTGTTTGTCTCATATTTATATCACATGATAAGCGACATCACACGAGTAGCTAGAGCAATATCACATGAGTGCTCTTTGTCCTCAATAGAGAATGTGAAGCTAAGTCACACCGCGTTGCATGCTGGGGCGCCGCCGGCATTCTGAGAGGATTACCCTCTGCTACAAATGCTGAAATTAATACGGATACCAACATGCTTATCTTTTGTTTTGTTTTTGCCTTTATGTTAAATATTCGCATTCTTCATTGGATCGTTTGCAGGGAAGATAAGCTATTTTATCGCTTCACATGATAATTAGATTTTTTTTCTCTTAAGTTTTGTAGAATTTCATTTATAATTTTGATCTGATTACCATGAAAACAGATCGTTTGCAGGGAAGATAAGCTATTTTATCGCTTCACATGATAATTAGATTTTTTTTATCTTAAGTTTTGTAGAATTTCATTTATAATTTTGATCTGATTACCATGAAAACAGTGTCGCCCACTGGACACACGCTTCTGCTTCAGCCTTCATATGGTAGATTATCCAAATAAAGTGTTTGTTCAGCAAGCTGACAGAAGTCGATCCATTTCTTTGTTGTAAACGTTTTAATGACAAGTATAATTGTTGTCATTGTATATTAATATTTCCATGGCCACGGAGGAGAATCCTAGATTGTGGGCCACATTCAGCAGACACAAGCACACTTTATTTTCTATTTATTTCAACAAATGACAACTAAAATGAAATCCCTGGAAGCTTGTGAACAGTTTTGTATCATTTTAAAATGCTGCTTTAATGTATTAAGCCAGTGATGCTAAATGACATGCAGATGAGGCCAGAATATTAAGCGTTATCCTCCTTTTAGAAAATCGTAATGAAGAAAAGTTTATGCATTAAGACAGTATTTCAAGTTCTTATTTTGGGTTCAGTTTTTCTGCAGATATTATGCTTTATTAGTAAGGTGTGTACAGAATGTGGTCTTCTTTATATGAATAGAAAATGCTTAACATGTAAATAAAGAATTGCGTTCACATTTTGGGCTTATGTACGTATCTGCACGTAGCATATGCTTTACAATTTTGTCTTTATCACTGTCTTGGTACATTAAGCCACATGAAGCCTTATTTGTGTTAAGTGTTTTAATGTCCCTGTTCAAGTTCTGCTAATTCATAAGCTGAGTGAGTCATACTCACGAAGGTGATGTTAATTATTAAACCAAACAAAATCAAAAAAAAAAATGCCTCAACATGATACTTTTATTAAGTGACAGGCAGTGGGTTTAATCTGTGACATTTGTAATGGATTTACTATCCGGCGTCTGCTTGTCATCTCCGCGACCTGCTTCCCTTGGGGTTTTTAGACAGAGAAAAGGCAAAAAAATACACTGCATTGTCCAGTTTTCTCAGAACGATGATCGGAGTTACTTTTGCAATTCTCGATGCAGCAAGAATGACATACAATGGTGACATTTTCCACAATCACGACAGAAAATGAAAATACTCAATAGCGGAGAGGCAGCGCAATCCTCTCAGTATGGCGGCTAAACAAAGCAGTTCCCTCTCGAGCTTTCACGAGACATCACAGAGATATTTCTCCGTTATGGGAACTCCTTCCCTTCCAACCTTTCCTGAAGTCCTATTGGCTCCCGCCAGTCCAAATGACTGGCCAATTGACACAAAGTATGCAAATCGCATGCAAATACCGACGAGCTCGAGAGGCAGTATAAAATGTGGTGCACACGACAATTACGTCAGAATCTTCTACTTCACCTGTTGAATTCACTATAGCAACAATCTGCAAGATCTGCGCGGGACCAATAGAGCCGCTGGATCAGCACGACTACTGCATCGCCTGCCTGGGCCTGGCCCACGGCGAGGCAGCGCTGGACGAGTCCAACTCCGGACCCGTTGCAATGTGGCTCGCGGCCTATTTGGGATGAGTATATGGTGCCGCTGGTGGGCCCTCCCGGTGACAGGAGTGTCGTCTTGTCGCTCCACCAACCCCAACGGTTGCCCTGTTTCCCAGTCTCACTCCCCTAGGACTGCTTCCGCCCCGGTCTCACTCTCCGAGGACTGCTTCCGCCCTCCTTCCAACATCGCAGAGTTTGTGTCCTTTAGCCAGGAGGAGGGGGATGACTCGATGTCCATCTCGGCCTCAGAGAGGGAGGATTGGGCGGGATTGGAATCCGATCAGCCGGACAGCATGGGGCCCCCAGACCTCCAGGAGGAGCTCATGAGGGTTCTGTCAAGGGCTGTCCAGGAGTTGGCGCTTACCTGGAGTACTCCAGAGGAGCCTGCCAGGAGTAAGCTTGACTCCTGGTATTTCAGGTCCGAAAAGCTGACTCAAGGACGTCGGTCCCCTTCTTCCCCGACGTACAAGAGCAGTTGGTGAAAACATGGTCTGCGCCACAATCAGCGCCCGTCCACTCTGCCACACAGGCCATTTTTTTCCCACATGGATGGGGCGGAGGCCCATGGGTACGTGCGCTCTCCCCCAGTCGAGGAGACCGTCGCTGCGCACCTGTGTCCTGCAGCAGTCAAGACCCTAGGCTCAGACATCAGCCTCCCCTCAAAGCCATGCAGGACTACCTTGCCAATAAAGCGTATGCATCTGATGGCGAGGCGGCTTCCGCGCTGCATGCCATGATAGTGCTGCAGGTTTTTCAGGCGAAGCTCCTGCAGGCACCGGAGGGCGGAGCCCTCACGGGCAGAGGCCATTAAGGATCTGCGTGTGGCGACGGACTTCGCACTGATGGCAACGAAGCGAGCGGGCCAGGCTGTGGGTAAGGCCATGGGTTTTATGGTCGTCCTTCAGAGGCACCTTTGGTTAAACCTAGCTGACCTCAAGGATGCCGACCGTAAAGTGCTGCTGAACGCTCCTGTGACTCCCTCCGGCCTTTTTGGTGACGCCGTGGAGTCCATTACTGAGCGCTTTGCGGAGGCTCAAAAGCGCATCATAGCCATGAGTCACGTGATGCCGAGGCGCGCTTTCCACCGGCTGCTAAGCAGTCGTCCTGACGGTCTGAAGAGATGAGGAGAGTGCAAGAGAGGCCCGGCTCCCA